GCATAATCCTGGGACCTTGCAACCATTGTATTTATGTGCTGGTTGCCAAGCTCCCAAACTGTGATTAAGTGACCATATTAGTTAAGAACAGTTAAGTGCAAGGAATGATTATAAACCACTTTTTTTTGGTGCTGTTATAACTTCAAAAAGTCACTAAAAAAATGATTGTAAGCTAAGGACTATCCAAGTCATTTTTGCATTTTCTAATCAAACGACTTTCAACCATTTGTATGTTCTCCTTTTTGTTGCACAGTTTTGTCAACAGGACTCAGACCAACTCTGGAGACTGTGAGTTAAGGACTGATGTATAAGCAGTGAAAGATCACCAGAGTAAACAAAAAGATCTTTAAAGCTTTGTCATCTCAGAGAGAAAGTTTTGAACTTGCTGCAACTAAATTTCTGTTCAACAATCTTCCTGTTCACAGCTCTGGTTCTTGGAAATGCCATCCAGCTGAGATAACTGTCCAAACCAGTATGTCCTTATCATGAGTGACACGGTCTAGTCACAAGAGTGAATCAATGAAGTTTCCCTTGTGTCATGCAGAAAAGATGTTGAGGAAATATGTTTGATTCCCACTCAATAAAATGTAACTCATACTGTACACTTGTCCTGGAGGACATTTTATGAGAAGAAAGGGAGCCTGTTATAACTGGTAAAATAGCATGTAAGAGTTCCATTTTAAACTGTTTCCTACTTACTAGTGTGGCTTCTCTTCATTTGTTGATCATTCAGAGAGCAATTCCTCTTCGAAATTGCTTGTTCAGGGCAAGAACTACTTCCTTAATCTCAAAGTGCAGAAGGTTATAATCCTTAGGCCAGTCCACCCAAACTATTTTTGGTGAAGAACAAGGTGGTCTTACTTCCTTCCCACCTCATGACAGGAGTGGCTTGGAGAGGTGACAAAACAGCACCACTATAAGATAAAAAGCAGGCTCACTTGAGAAGCACAAGATGGAACATGTAGCATATCTCTCTCTATAGAGAAGAGATGGGAACTATGGCCCCTTTATGACCTGTGGTCTTCGACTCCCAGAATTCCTGAGGCAGCCAGGCTCACTCAGGAATTCTGGGAGTTGAAGTCCACAGGTCATAAGGAGCCATAATTCCCCACCCCTGCTGTAGAGGATGCTATCTTGGGTGTGTTGTGTGGCATATGCTCTGCTCAAACTGTGCTCCAGTTAAGTTCACTTATATCAAGTACTGGGGTCTCCAAACTTGGCAACTTTAAGACTTGTGGACTTCAATTCTGCTGGCTGGGGAATTCTGGGAATTGGAAGTCCACAAAAGTTGCTAAGTTTGAGACCCCTGGCCTAGCACACGGCAGCCTATAGCCAGGGGTGGGATACGACAGGGTTAACTACTGGTTCGGGTTTTACGAGCTTCCCTGCACACTGTGAGCCACGCACCTGTAAATCGTCATCAGCATGCTTTGTGTAGAGATGCAGCCTTTGAAACAGCCTCTTTTCCTGCTGTTTTAACTGCAGCTGTGCCTCGTTTGGCAGCTGAAGTTGAAAAATCAGGAAATAAAGATCAGGTAAGAGCCCGAGTGAGCAAAAACATCAGCAGACATAGAACAAGTTCTATGTCTGCTGCTCTTCAGAGCTACCGGTTCTACAGAGGTGGACAGAACCGGTAGAAACCCACCCTGCCTATAGCTAAGGTAGGTTCTTAGCACTTGAGGACTAGGGAGAAAATTTCAGAATACGATGTCTGTAAAACATGTCTTTCACTGCAATCATCTCAATTGGAAAAGTCAATCACAAATGTTTCCTAAACCAAACAAATTTATCTAGTCCACAGAGAAACTCTTGACATAGATGGAACTTATACTACTTCCTGTTTTATTCTCACTTGATAATTGAAAGGTAGGTGAGAAGTGATGATCCCACCTAACTGAGCATCATAACTAAATATAGATTTGTGTATATCTCTCTCCTGGTTTTCTTAGCAATTTTGTTGTGTTCCTGTAATTGTGGGAATAGTTTCTTCAAACAGGTACTTTATTGAAAAATCAGCATTAGCATTTCAGCATTTCCCCATAGTTATTTCACAGTAAGTATGTCATAGTATTTTAGTGTTTTCCCCACTGCAGGCAAATTCAAAGGTATTAAGACAGAACTTCTGTATTCAGTTTGAAAGTGTGATAGTGATTGCAGTGCTTCCCAAGCCTGGATAAATTACCCCAAATTAGGTAAAACTGTTTTTTCTTTAGGTAAACACACCCAATCACAACAGCAGGGGTGGGTTTCTACTGGTTCTGTCCACCTCTGTAGAACCGGTAGCTCTGAAGAGCAGCAGACATAGAACCAGTTCTATGTCTGCTGATGTTTTTACCCACCCGCCCACTTACCTGATCTTTATTTCCTGATTTTTCAACTTCAGCTGCCGAACGAGGCACAGCTGCAGTTAAGAAAGCAGGAAAAGAGGGCTGTTTCAAAGGCTGCTTCTCGGCACACAGTGTGCTGATGATGATTTACAGGTGCACACCTCACAGCATGCAGGGAAGCTCGTAAATCCCGAACTGGTAGTTAACCCTGTCGTATCCCACTTCTGCACAACAGGAACATTTAAGTTGACATAAAACATTTTATCCACATTGGGTAAAAAGGAATTTATCAGAAGAAATTTTAGGGAATGAAGGAAAAAGTTTGGCAAGCACTGCTATACCGTATTAAGAAAACTCCATACGCAAGTTTATTTGAAATATTTTTTAACTTTCATTTATTTATTTTCTCCAGCAGTTAGTACATTAAAAACATATGCAAGTACCATATGCAGTTTTCATACTACATAATAATTCTAAAGATTTTACCAATTTTTGAAATACATAAGAGACAAACAAACAAATCCTTAAGTAGGAAATTGATAATTCATTTCAAAACCTGTAATTATTATCCATACAGATTCATTCATCTATTAAATCAAATTCTATTAAAAAGTCAGAACAAATTGGAGTCACAATATAATTTGAGGAAAGTTTCACAAGTGAAGAGACAGTAATTTTTTTTCCCTCCATGGTGTGCAATTCAATCTATGATAGTTAAAAAGAAGGCAACTTTGCATGATTTTGGGACCAAATTATTGTATGAACTTTAATTTAATCATTTTTTTAAAAAAATCACATATTTATTTATAATAAAATCAGTTGGAAAAATCATTCCTATTGATGTCTTAGGCAGCATCCAAAAAGGTGCATCCCACACATTTGGAGAAGATAGCAACGAAACTGCATCTTCTAGCATGAGAGACGGGGAAATGTTTCTTTTAAGAAAACCTCTGCCAATTTTTAATAATTTTTTTTAAAGAAAGTAAATTTTATTTGTAAAAATAAAATCTGTGGCCAATTTAATTAGGGGACAATTTTAAACCAACCCGATTCATTGGTTATACCTCTCAGTCTCTGATTTTTTTACATAACTGTGCATATATCAAATAAAAGGGGATTTAATTAATAAAAAAATAAGAGAATAAGAAAACAGTCCATCAAATGTAACTGATAATTATGAGATAAACAAATAAGCAACAGGAAGTACTTCCTAGAACAACAAATTTTGTTTACTTAGGAACTTAGGATTTTTTTCCACAGGTTATTGCAAGCATGTGGGAGTTCAAATAAGTACTGTGCTAGAAACCTACTTCCTTATGCCAACATTATTTAGAAATGCTACTTCTGTGTTCATTAATATTTATACATCACAATGTTAAACACCATGGGTTAAAAGCAGAATATTAAGGCCTTCCGATAGCAATGGTGGCTAAAATATATAACAAGAAGTGCCCAGTTCAAATTTGGTCTCACCCACAAACTTATTAAAACCGCAATCCCATTCAAAAATAAACTTTTCATTTCATGATTGTAAGATAAGAACAACTTTATTCATCTCCAACCTGGCATCTTCCAGGTATTTGTAAAGGTTTCTTTACTAATATAATTACAGGCATTGAGGAACAGACACTTACATTAACAAACCTTACTTCAAGATACATTAGGGGGAGTGGGAAAGTTGGCATTTGTATCCAGAGCAAATATAAGCAATCCAAATCTTCAAAATCTGAGGATCTTTAGTGGAAATACTGTAAACAACTCACACACTTTTTAAATTTAATTCTCCATAACAACTTTTACCCCAATTTAAGATAGCTTAAATAAATTATGGAATTCCTGGTGGCAAATTTGTTATCAAAAGCTTGGTCTTCTTATCACCAATAATTCATTTTCCTTTAGAGCACATAAAAAGGATTCCTGAAGTTCTCTTCCAAATATTTCCAAAATCCAGATCTGTCTCAAAGTAGGTTTAAATCCATATCTTCAGGAGAATCCCTTTCGTTTAAAATAGGAAAAGTTGGCCAAGAAACTAAAACATGCATCTTTAAATTTTAGCCTTATACTGTGTACATTATGCTCAAAAATAATGATGAAAATCTGAAGTAGAATTAGACAAATTCCTTAAATGTGCAAATGAAAAGGAATTTCTAGGATCATGTGGCATTTCAGATTTGAAGAGGAAAAATTCACTGAGACCTTACACAGCATGTATTGGCCATTTATTAAAGCAGGATCTTCTCCCAGGATCAGATAGTTGCCACACGATCCCAAGTGTCACCCTCTTCAAGTCCACATCAGGAAGAAGAACCTACAAGATTTATTGGCACTCTAATTTATTGATATACCGGTAGGTATTAGTAATAGAATCCTGAAAGTTAATTGCATTTTCCTTCCCTGTTTCCCTTCCTCTTATATCAAATAAAGTTTAGGCAGAACCACATTGAGTTTCTTTCTAGTATTCCCTTCCTGTTCCAGGTTTGAATCATGTTTTGCTAACTGCCACTGCATATCTTCTCTATGGTTGTTGCTGTGGTTTTCTACATCCAGGAAAGAAAAAGGGCTTGGTTGGTCAAGAACAAGCTTATAAATTATGGTTTAATCAACAAACCACAATTTTTTAAAAAATATGGTTCAGTATAATGGAAGACAAGTAGAGGTAGGGTGTTATTTTTCCCAGAGATCAGATCCTGTTTGAGTGTGGAAAATCCATAGGTTGAATCTCCTCCCACTTCTGGGCCTGATGGGCTGCCCAAGCTTTCAGCTCAAGGGCCTTAGCAAGAAACACGAGCAGAAGAGTAAGCACATCTCCTTCAGCTGTGTGAGCTCTGGATGGTTCCTCTCTGTAGAAATACTGGTACAGATTTCCCAGCTTATAGCTCAGGTATGGCACTCTAAGTACATCCTTCAAAGCCTGCAATGTGTCAAGGCATCCTGTATTTGCAGGCAGGTCGGTGCCTATTTGCCACAGTTCTTTACGTAGCAGAGGAAAGTCGAAGTGGAGACCATTGTGGGCCACTAAGCAAATGGGATGAGCTTGCCGGTCTAAAAACCCTTTCAGGATCTCCATCAAAGAACGGTTGTTTTCCTGCTTACAGTTCTCTTCTAGCTTTTGGTTGCTGAGCCCAGTTATAGCCTGTGCGCACAGAGTAAAGGGTTTCTGGGGGTCGATGCAGAGGATCAGCTTGTCTATGATGCGAGGCAGCTGTGGTCCTTTTGTCTGTGGAAAGGGCTGCAGGGAAGATTGGTGAACAGCAAAGAGGCACAGCTCCGCTATGCGCGGTTGGTCTCTGGGCAACCCGGTGGACTCAATATCAAGGAAAACAAACGTTTGGTAGAAGTCCAGAGGTTCAGTCATGGCTGGCACAAAAAAGGCAAAGCGTGTTAGAATCACTGTTAGTAACAACAATTATGTGGCTTTATCAAGCATTGCTTCCTCCACCAAGAACCTGCCTGGGTCCCTGACTATCATCATCATCATCATCTGAAAAGACACGCCTCATACTCAGTTGTTCATATTAATGAATAATGCTCCACAGTCTGACATACAAAAGAGGAAAGTCACTGTTCAATTGTACAAGTGAGATTTCCCTTTAGGAGAAAATTATAGTTTAATGTTGCTAATGGTCTTCCTGTAAGGTAGGAGAAACTCATATCCATATGGCAAGATGCCCAGAATTTTTTTATTGGTTAGATTTCCACACAGCACTTCCTCTATCAATTTCCCTCTACAACAACAACTCTGTGAAGTAAGTTAGACTGAGGGCAGGACCTTGGCCTCAAATCACTCAGAGGGATTTCATGCCTGAGGTTACCCTCAAACTGGGTTCAACTGCATAACCACAAATCCAGGACGTCAACCACTATACCACATGAATGTCTTCTCTGGTCTGGAACACAGGATATAGAACAATAGGCCTGGAAGATCCTGTATCATTCTGGACAAATGGCTGCCCAGTCTGTTCTTGAAGGCCTTCAGTTTTGGAGCACTCACAACTTCCAGAGGTGAGCTGTTTGATTTATTGTTCTCATTGCTAGAAGACTGGTCATGTATGCTTACCAATGTAAGTTTCACAATCAATAGCTTACAATATGCCATTGTCAATAACTCAAAGGGGAATTATGAGCACTCCTTTAAATAGAAAGGCAGACAATAAATAAATCTTGTTCAAAATAAAATAATTATGAGCACTCCTTTAAATAGAAAGGCAGACAATAAATAAATCTTGTTCAAAATAAAATAAATCTGGATTCTAAATGGTGAAGCAAACAACAAATTCATGTTGCACTCTTACAAATATTATAGCCAGAACATCTGGACTGGTCCAGAAAAGCATTTTCAACTCATAAATGCTATTTCCATTAACCATTTACTATCCCAATCAGGGGAAATAATGTGAATTCCTCCAATGTGACATCTGCCAGCAATGCCCCTCTGGGTTCTTAAGTAGGCCAGACAGTGCAAAAGAATTAATGGACACAAGTTTGACATCAAGACTCAAAATCAGAACAGAGCTATATCAGAGCATTTCAGCTTTCCTGGATCCTTCCTAGCAGACCTCATAGTGGCTAGCTTACAAAAGTGGGACTTTAACAGCAGCATCAAGTGAGAAATGGCTGAACTCACATGAAAAAGTATCCAGGCAACCTCAGAAGGTCTCAACCAATACAATGAGTTTGTAACATACTACGTTTGTTAACGGGTGAGATATTTAGCAACCTCCCTCGCGTATATCCTGCACTTACATAAGCGCCGTTCTCTCCCCTTTTCTCCCCAATTTAAATCCCACATCAGCCTCGCACTCCCTTCACCCGATGACGTGAGCTGCAATTTGCTTGTTGTCAGTCGTGAGAAGTGCCACCCGAGCCCTCCTGATTTGGACCCTCACAGACTGACTGACTGACCCGGCTCTCCCCCTGCAATAACTGGGGAAGGGTGCCCGATGGCTTGAGACAGAGCCAGTCAGTGCCACTGCCGTATTTCGCTCCTTCGCTTTTCAAACCCAGGGAAAGGGGGAAGCCAGCCTCGTTTTCTTCTTTCCTGAATAAGACAAAACATCTCCCAGGCTCATATGCTGGAAATGGACAGGAGAGACGCGTTCTGGGTCTCATTCTCACCTCCCCACGATTCTCCAGGCGCAGAAGGGGCAACGCTTGAACTCCCGGCACGCTCGCTCTCTAGAGAAACTGAAAGCTACATGCTCGGGCAAGTCCTTGGCCAGTGGGAGGGGCGAAGGAGATGCGAAGGGCAGTCTTTCCCCCAAAGTCTGATGGGAGATGTAGTCTTTTTCCTGCTCAATGGAAGGTTTTCTTGCAGTGCGGGCTCTCTTTTGTCCGCCGAAGGCGGGGATGCGGCTTCTCCTTTCTCCTGGCGTGAGCCCGTTTTGAGATTAGAATCTGCTCATGGAGGATGCAACTAATACGGTAGTGTCGAAGCTCCATTCGCAATATCTGGCTGAATTTGTATCGGTGCCAGCAGAGGAAGACCATGGGAGGAGAAACGTTTAGGACTGCCTACTGGTATCTGGTCCATAAAATTCTGGACGATCCTCAAATGACAGCAAAGAGCTGAAGGTTTCTTTGTGTCTTTGCTGCCACTGCGTGGCCTTACAGAGTGTTACGCTCAGATACTTAAAACGTCTGGATGACCTGATGCAGACTGAGGGCCCTGAGCTGGGCAAACAGGCCTTCCTTGTGTTCCCAAGTCATCTGATAACTCTTATCAGCATTTAGTTTTCTTTAGAAAGTAATATAAACTTTCCTCATGTTGTCTGGACATTCTGAGAGATATAGTCCCAACATAAGGTAAACCTCACCAAACTTGACAACTCCTTCTTGCTTAAAAGTCTGTGCTGACCAATTGGCCCCCATCTTCACCCGAATCTTCAATAGATCACTAGAGATGTGCTATGTTCCTTCCTGCTTCAAACGTTCTACCATCATCCCAGTGCCAAAGAAGCCCTCCATCAAGGAACTGAATCACTACAGACCAGTTGCTCTAACATCTGTAGTTATGAAAATCTTTGAAAGGCTTGTGCTGTCCCACCTGAAAAGTTTCACAGATCCACTGTTAGATCCCATGCAGTTTGCATACTGAGCAAATAAGATTGACAGATGATGCTGTTAATATGGCTCTGCATTACATCCTACCACACCTTGAATCTCCAAATACCTACGCAAGGGTCCTCTTTGTAGACTTCAGATCAGCATTCAATACCATCATTCCACACACATTTCTAACTAAACTAAACCAGTTAGCGGTACCTGAATACACTTGTAAATGGATCATAAGCTTCCTAACAGACAGGAAGCAGCAGGTGAAGCTAGGCAGAATCACATCCGATACCTGCACAATCAGCACAGGGCCCCCCAAGACTGTGTGTTTTCTCCACTTTTTTCTCCCTATATACCAATGACTGCATCTCAAACGATCCACTTGTTAAAATACTTAAGTTTGCTGATGACACAACAGTGATTGGTCTGTTCGAGACAACAATGAATCTGCATACAGACAGGAGGTTATACAACTTGCCTTGTGGTGTAACCGGAACAATTTGGAACTGAACACACTCAAAATCGTAGAAATGGTGGTAGACTTTAGAAGAAACCCTCCTATACCTCTTACAATACTAGACAACACAGTATCAACAGTAGAGACCTTCAAATTTCTAGGTTCTATTATATCACATGACCTAAAATGGACACCTAACATCAAAAACATCATCAAAAAAGCACAACAAAGAATGTTCTTTCTGCACCAACTCAGAAAGCTCAAACTTCCCAAGGAGCTGCTGATACAGTTCTATAGGGGAATTATTGAGTCTATCATGTGCACCTCTATAACTGTCTGGTTTGGTTCTGCAACCCAACAGGACAGACACAGACTTCAGAGGATAATTAGGACTGCAGAAAAAACAATTACTACCAACCTTCCTTCAATCAAGGACCCGTATACTGCACGAGTCAAAAAGAGGGCTGTGAAAATATTTACAGATCCCTCACATCCTGGACATAAACAAAGGTACTATAGCAGGTTGTAAGGTGTTCCAAATAAAGTTGCATTTTGTAATTAACTGTTGGTAATTTGGTCAATGCTGATGCTGCTCCAGATGTTTTAAAACTACTGCTCCAGATGTTTTAAAATTGCATCCAAGGCGCCTATTATTGTCTATTGAAATGGACACCTAATATTAGAACCATCATTAAAAAGGCACAACAAATAATATTTTTCCTGTGTCAATTCAGAAAGCTCAGACTGCCCCAGGAGCTGTTGATACAGTTCTACAGAGGAATTCTTGAGTGTGCCTTTGTACTTCTGTAACTGTCTGGTTTGGTATAGAAACCAAACAGGACAGGTACAGACTTAAATGGATAGTTAGGACTGCAGATAAAAACAATTGCAACAAGCCTGCCTTCCATTGAGGACCTGTATACTGCACCAGCCAGAAATAGAGCTGAAAAATATATACAGGCCCCTCACATCCTGGACATAAACCGTTTCAACTCCTCCCCTCAGAACGCCCCTGCAGGAATTTGCATGCCAAAACAACTAACTAGACACAAAGACAGTTTTTCCTCTCACGCCATCCTTCTGTTGTTGTTAGTCCTGAAGTCGACCCATCGCGACCCCATGGACAACGTTCCCCTAGGCTTTCCTGTCCTCTACCATCCTCCAGACTCCATTTAAGCTCAGGTCTACTGCTTCAGTGACTCCATCCATCCCCTCCTCTTCTTTTGCCCATCCTTCTACTAAACACCTAATTCTCACAGCATTGTCTTATGCCTAAGGATATTTTCCCATGTAGCAGGGCTGTGTTACTATTCCTTCTCATCTTTCCTATTACCTTCTCCTATTGATATCTTCTGATTACCAGTATTGCTTTGTTCTTTGTATGTCCTAACTGTACATACAAAGAACAAATCGTAAGACAGATTTCCCTCCAGTGCTTAGAGCTTAAGCACGGGAGACAAAATATTTGTGTGTCCAATCACACTTGGCCAATAAAAGAATATTCTATTACAACCGGTACTGCCCTTCCTTTCTTTTGCCACGGACGTTCTACTTCTATTATGGTTGATCACACAGTCGGCCAGATGTTTAGATTGGATCTGGCATTTTTATCAACCTATGGAGTCCTTCCCAAGGATCTGGGATAGGCAGAGGTTGATCCCTGACAGTGTTAATTATTATTACCACCATTATACCCGAGGGATTCCGCCTCGCCTATAACGTCTGCTTCCTCCGTTTCCTGAGCCTGGAAGGCGGCAAACGCGCGTCGTTCATTTGCGTTACCAGTGCCAAGAAGTGAAAAGATCTGAAACGCAAAAGGCCGGTAACGAGAGCCAGCGAAAAAAGAAAACACGCCCCGAACCCGTCCGGCAGCTACGGAGGAGGAGGAGGAGAAGGAGGAGGGTGCGTGTGTGTGTGTGTGTGTGCGCGGCGCGGCGCTGAGATCCAGAGTTTGTCGGGCCCTCCCTCCCCGCAGCCTGACTCACTTCCCTGGCGACTACCAGCCCAGTGCGCCCGGAATAGCAGGTAGGAACGATCCCCCCGCTCCCCTTTGTGCCACCCACCACCCTGCCTCCCTCCCTCCCTCCGCCGCTAGGAGAATGTCTGCCCGGCCCCACCCGGCCCTCTTTTAAGCTTTCTTTTCGGTTGCAAAGCCAGCTTCGTTTCCCCCCTAAAGTTGGACTGGAAAAAGGGCTGCGTCGCCTTTTCTTTTTTCCTTTGCCAACTGGACGTATCTTGGCGGGGAGTAGAGGGAATCGTCTGATCCGCGTGTTACGAAAGAAGGTTGGGCCGTAGGATCCGGGCATGGAAGGCATCGCCCACGCCGAGCCTGCCCGGGGCAGCGACTGCACGTCTCTCGTTTGGTAGAGGGCGGGCCCCGATGGAGGGTTTGAAAGGGGACTAGGGACCGGGCGACAGGGTGACCATCTGCCTCCTCCGTTTGGCCCTTTTAGACGCGTCTCCCGCCACTCTGGCCCTCCGTTGGTAAGGCAGAGCCGAGCCCGGAGCGTCCCGGGCTTTTGAAAGTTGGCAGCTATAGGCTTGGGCTCTTCCGCCCAACCCTCCGCTCTGACCCTCGAGCCCCACGGCATTTGCTGTCCTGTCAGAGGATGAGGGGGTGTTGGAGGGTCTGGAGCTCGACCAAACTGCTTTCCTTGCCAAAGGATTGCAGGTAATGGCTGATGGGATAGGTTTTCGGGTTCCTTAGCTGACCCTGGAGTAGGCTTTGAACGCTTTGGGCGGGGTTACTTTCTCCGTGTGCTAAACTTAGTCAGGAGCTCAGTTTACCCCGATGGCTGACTTTCCTTCTTTTCCCGCGTGAATCTGCTTCTTCCATTCAACGCAATTTAGACTTCAGTTGAATGCAGACATTTGTAGTTGGAAAAATAGTATAATCAACGGTTTGTTTTTCGTACAGCTTAATTTAGCCATGCAAGCTGCTGATTGGTAACGCCCCCCCCCCCTATAAATAACTCAAAGCAGTAAGCACATCTAATGCTCTTTTTCCCACAACCACCTTGTGAGAGGAGAGAGAGGCTAACTGGCCCAAAGTCATCCAGCCGGATTTCATACCTAAGGCCGGACTAGAATTCATGGTGCTCTGGCTTCTAGACTGCTGCTTTAACCACTAGACCAAACTGACTCTTGGTTCTCTCTCCCTCCTCCCTATTTAACTGTTCCCCAAATTAAAAAGGAATACAGATCTTCTACTGTTGGTTATTACACCCCAATGTCCTAATTAGCACAATGTTTCTCTGATCATTCGCTTGCCTTAATTGTTTTTTTAAATGTTACTTAATCTTAGGCCTAGGAAGCATGCAACTGTAATAATAAGTTTCACTGTTATGGATTAAATGTGTTCCTAACCCCTTTCTATCCCAAATTGTTAGGCAAAAAAAGAGTTACAGTATTCTGTCTGCATTTTGATTGGGGGGGGCAGGATTCAAGGGAAAGCCAAGGCACACCCAGGCATCTGAGACAAAACAAATTTGCAAACTATGTCTGATACTGATTCAGGCCCCAGCTCTGAACATTTTTCCATTTAAATAAAAACATTTTCTTCATAGAGGTAGAACCTAAATTTAGACAGAGTAGAAAACAGAATTTTAGACAGATCTAATAAGTACAATAATTACTTGAAGTTTTGTTTTTTTGTCTTGTTTTTTCCTCAGTTATGTTGGGTTTTAGGAGAAATTGAATCGGACAAAGGTCCAGAATAAGATGTGATTTAATGTATTAATCTAATTTATGGCTATTTGACATACCATAATAAAGCAATGCATAACTTGTTACATGTGTATGTATGGATGTGGATTCTAATCAGACACAATCCGTTGTAATACATATCTCGAATGCATGGGTTCCATTTGGTTCCATTAAATAAGTTCAGAAGATTTTGAGGGGAATTTGTTTAAATGGCCTCTTTTGTGGCTGAAAAGAAATCTTTTTGTATTCATGCTCAGGCAAAGAATATGGTGAAAAACTTAAGGAGTGGCTTATAATTCTTTTGTCTTCCCCCCAGTTCTTTTGTCAAAGTTATAATCTCGCAAAAATGCAAAACATTTGTTGCTTTTTAAAGATTTATGAAGGCCTATATGTTTATGTGCTAGATTGAATATTATTAGCTACATTAAGAGATATCCAAAGTTTTCAGGTATTGAAGTTGGGCAGCATTAATACATTAACATGAATAAAATAAACTGTACACATAAGTATAGAAGGAAATGATACACAAAAATGCAGATTGTGGCATTAAATAAAACCTGATTAAAATAAGTACACATGACAAAATATTTGTTGCCGGCAGTAATCCCAAGGGTACATTTATCGTAAGTTACGTGTAATGAAACAACATCTTTATCTTGATTCAGAGGGAGTCATCAAATGGGTTTCTTTGATTTTATTTTTTTCATCAAGTGGAGTAGGAAGAACATAATCCTCTTATCCTACACTCAGCAAATATGCTTTAGGAAACTATGTGCCCCTCCCGGAGGCTTTAGCAAAACTGTGCTAGTAAACTGCCTAGCACTGAATTAGATCCACCCACTACTGCCTTCCCTGGCTTAATCCAACATCGCCCAACTGTTTACAGGCATGGCTAGTTTGTAGTACTGTAAGGGGTTGAGAACATTAGTTCTTGTTGAGGCAATGTTGCTCAGCCCCTCTTGTTATAACAGACCCCATTGTCCTTTCCTATTATGGGAGATATAGTCACTTCCAAATAGTGACTTTATTTATGTTGGGGTTTGCTCCCCCATCTCATTTCTTCCTTTCATACGTAACTCTTTTAGGAACAGCTTGTTTATTACATATTATTCCCTTCAGAAAAAAAAGGGAAAAAAGTGCTTCTGCTGAAATCATTCTCTTCAGGGAACCTGTAGTAACGTTGGTACTGAAGCTACTTTTGCTTTCAAGTTAACATATTTTAGAGGCTGGTGTGATCATCTGTGAGAGATTTAGTTTTAAAAGTAGGTGTTTTCCAATTGTACAGTTAATTGTTATTTAGGGATATTGGCTGCAACTTATTTCTCTCCATTCTGCATTTTTTAGGTAGCACCATGGATGAATATAAAGGCATGACAGACAAGGAACTTATTGCACGATTGAAAAAATACAGCATCCCCCACGGGCCTGTTGTTGGTATGTGTTGTGACAATGTGTTTACCCAGAGCAGAAAAAAATAAGTACAGGTAGTCCTCAACATATGGTTTTAATTGAGCTCGCAGTTTGAACACTAAGTTACGATGGTTGCATAGTGGGTTACCGCATGACCATGCCTGGATTTTATTACCTTTTTTTGTGGCGATGATTAAGTGAACCCGTTGTTTGCTCTGGGGTGGGTTTAGTTGGAAACAAGTAAAGGCCATGTTTCAGCAAAAACTTCATAATTTGCACTCATGTGACCACAGAGTACTACAACGTAAATGTGAGTGGCCCTAAATGTCAAAACTTTGCACCTGGGTCATAACTCCCTTTTTCAGGATCCTTCATAACTTCAAATTGTCAATAAGTGATCTGTTATAAGATGAGGACTGGAAGTGGGAAAGTAGCAGGCTAAGAAAGGAACCCAATAACCCCCCAGAAAGATAGTTTTATGGCAAAAATTTCTTTTCCCCAAAATTTATGTGCAACCCCCACCCCTGTGAAAATGTAATTTTTAATGAACTGGGAGGGAAAATTATTAGAATATTGAACATTAGTTGTAAGAATACCCTTAATTGATTTTAGTTATTTTAATCAACATTAAATCAAGTTCATTTTTCTCTAATCACTTATTTTATTCTGGATTCTTTCCCTTCATGAGCATTGCCAGGCCCTCCCTTCAGCACAGCACTGAAAGCCAAGGATAGTTCTTAGTTCATAAAAATTGTACATTTGGCTTTTACAGCAGAAGAGACCAGCATATAAGAGAATATTTTATTTGCCCCGCCTTCCTCCAGTTTTTCATTAATTTCACTAATTTCACAATGAATTGCCTGAAGTGATGGAGCATATGGGGATAAAATCCTGTCACTCTCACAGGTGAGGGAGGAAGCTGCATAAATAACCCATGTGGATACCATAATTGAGTCTTCTGGCTCTTTAAGAAGGAGAAATGTCAGAAGAGTCTTAAAATGATTAAAGGGAGTGCTGCACCTAACCAGGAATTACTTTTCTGTGAAATATCCAACCCACATTTATCTTGGACAAATGTGGCTTTGGGCGTGTTTTCACAACAGATTAACATTGTGAACAATATTTAGGACAGGTTAAGCAATGAGCTTTCCTTTGGGAGTTGGCAAGACTTTGAAGCAATCAATAAAGATATCTGGAAGTATTAATAGAAGAGTAGAAGGGACATATGGAGGAAGCTGAAGGGTTGTATATTGTTCTCTCCTTAGATATAACCCCAGTCTGATTTCTGTTTCCTAGGATCTACCCGGAAACTTTATGAAAGGAAAATCTATGAATATGAGACTGAGCGGACTCAATATCCTTCACCTGGAGGGTCTGTGTCCCACACAGGTAAGAAGAAACTGACCCAAGGGGAGAAAGGTCTCCCCACCAAGCACTAACCTCTTTTCTCACCCACACAGAGCCAGCCACCAGCCAAAGCTACGTAAAAGAGACCTTTGTGAGCCCACGAAAAGCAGAAGACTTCAACTATGGACGAGAAGGTGAGTGACATGAATCGCTAAGACAGGAGTAAAAGAACAGACATGGACAAAGAAACAAAAGACGTTAGAAGGATGAGCAATCCAAGAAACAAACAAGCAAACAGGTGAAAATTAGCAGGGCAATGGCATTTGTGTTCTTGGTGCTCTAAGGAAATGGACAATCAAAGTTAAAAAGGGAAAGTCTCCATTGATTTGAGATCGACATTTGGGTGACTATGTGGGCATTTCCATGCTGTCTTCATGACAACAGTAGGGAAATAATTTGCCATTGCCTTCCTTGGAGAGTGTTTTGCAACTTTTCAGTCTAATGTCTACAGCCCAGGTATGTTGTAATAATACTAAACAGACCCAACCTTTTTTAATTTCCCAGCCAAGGTGACCCAGGTACTGACTCCTATTCAAGCTGAATCAAATTTAAATACCTTCTGATTCCTTCTACCCTGCAGCTCTTGGCTCCACAAGAACTTACTTCAAAGAATATGTCCCAACAAGACAGGAATACTATTCTGAGTACAGAGATGAAGGTAGGTATGAGAGGACAGTATTTGACTGAAGGAAGATGGATTATAAGCCATGGACATAGGATGAGGATATTGAAAAGCCAGGAGTTTTTTATTTGGGAGGAAGATATATTTTATTGGGGTGAGGGGGTGTTATAGCAAGAGAAATATATTCTCTCATCAAAAAAAATGACATAGTTCATATTCAGAACTCAACCCCCAAAACAGGGATTTCTATATAAACCTGACTTGGTTGTGACTAAAACCACAAACAGGTTGTTAGGACTTTATTTTACACATGTTATGTGTAATCAATGATGTATTTGTCCCATAAGATTGATTTTAGGGCATTTTGACATCATGGTTAACTTTGTTGTCACTGACACTGCCAAAATTAATATTCTGCATCATAAGCAGGTACATTTTAAGAACATACAGATAGGTGCCTTTTGCTTTCTATGATCTTTGCCTTCTTTCAGTCAAAAGTCACTTCCACCCTATTTTCATGACAAATTGTGATTTAAAAAAATCTATATAACATATACTTAATTCAGTGCTGATTTTTATAACACCTGAACATTCATACACATTTTTGTATATACTGCCCTTAATATGTACATTTTTGTAAATTACTCTTTCCATGTTTATACCCTTTGGAATGATATTTTTTCTTAACACATTTTATAAGCATTTTTTGAAGGGGAGATTTATACTCAGTTGTACAAAAAGTAAAGAATACTAAAGAACATTAAAGAAGATCTTCCACTTTCTCTGTTAGTTTGGAATTACTCATTGGATTTGTCTGTCTTTACTTACTATAACATAAAGTAATTCATACAAGTTAATATAGACAGAGGAATACAAATTTCTCCACAGTCCATAGATTGGCTAGAAGATGTAGAGGTCTACAGTATTTTAGCAGGAATTCTGTTCTGATTCTATCATTCACTACTCATTGATATGATTATATTAAATGTTGCTTTGGTAATTATGAAAGTTATCATTTTTTTTAATGTCAGAATTTCTGGAATGTTTCTTCTTATCTCAGGAATGAATTCTGCAAGCACAGGTGGTCCTTGCTTAATGACCATTTGTTCAGTGACCATTCAAACTTAGGATGATGCTGAACAAATGATGGTTATGACTGGTCTTTGGACTAATGATCATCATTTGCTGGCTTACACAAGCAAAATCAATGGGGAAGCCAGCGGGGGATAGCAAATAGTGGCCACGTGATCTCCTTGTTTAACAACCCACAGTGATCCCCTTTACAATGGCAATGAGAAGTTCTGGGATTTCTTTGCTAAGTGGCATGGTCATATGATGTTATGCTTTATAAGTGCATTGCTTGATCCCAATTATGTTGTGAAATTTGGATTACCTATAATTGTGTTATGTCATATGCAACAGAATGCCAAACAGATCCAAAACCATTTGCAGATACTATCTTTCCCTTCTGCAACATGTTTTCAGCTTTAATAGCTTAACTTGCTTTTTATACTACAAATACATACACACATATGTGCCAGAAAGAGGAAGAGCTTTTGCTTTAACTTTTTTTCCCTGTGATTTCCTAGATCCCAGTCCCACTGAGTCATATCTGAGTTATAATTACAATTTGCCCCACCACGAAGAGCATTCTTCATATGCATCAGAAGGTAGGAAGAAAAATGAGAGTGCAAAATGGGCTTTGAAAATTCACAAAACCTGTAAGATTAGAACCATAACATTTGGTCAAACTGATAATTATTGAGAAATCTGGGAACAAAAAAACATCCATCAGAGAAATCTGATCTTGCCAGCCTTTATTATTATTATTTTTATATTGATATATAGCAAAAATTATATGCCATACCATCAGAGTCTTTGACAGACCTTTCTCTTTCTTTTATGTCAGATACGGATGTAAACACTTCTGAGCCCTCCAGATCTTCCTATCGGAGTTATTCATCCTTATTAAGCCATACTACATCTCCAGGGACAGTGAGCGCCCGCCAACCAGTAAGTTGTTCCTCACATGCTTGTCAAGCCCAAAGACAACACCGAGAAGTCTAGTTGTAGGGATGAGCAAACTGAGTCCGAGGAGGAGTCATATGTGTCATGAGTCACAAGTAGATCTAAATCCAGCCCACTTTGAATGCCTCTCTTATCTCCTGCTCATTTCCCTTGACCCCTAGTTGGTCAGATTCTTGTAGATTCTGCCTGAATCTCCTGATTTCCCTGGCAATTGACATTAGTTGAATCCAACCTGTCACTTGCTTATTCCTAACAGAGAGAATCTTTCCAAACTAAAGCTATAAGCTTCCAACCTACCAGATATAGTTTGAGAGATTCTTGAACCTCTTTTCCTGTTTCCCCTCCAGCTTGGGCTACACAGTCTTTTAATCCTTCCCTGTCTCTGGGAAAGCTCCATGCTGGCCAAACTCTCCCCAAGATACATATCCCATCACACATAACTAGACAGAACAAGAAAGCTATCCACATTGGAAACAGTCAAGGAAAGATTCCTCCTTACAACTTTGTATAGATAGTCTTCGACTTATGATCGTAGTTGGGACTGGCTTCTCTATTGCTAAGCAAAGCAGTTTGTTAAATGAGTTGCACCCAATTTTACAAACATTTTTTGCCACAGTTGTTAAGCAAATTACTGCAGCTCAGTGAATCATGTGATCATTAAGCAAATCCAGTTTCCCCCATTGGTTTTGCTTATCAGAAGCCAGCTGGGAAGGTCACACATGATGATCACATGACCCCAGGAGGCTGCAACTGTTGCTAATATGTGCTGGTTGCCAAGCCGCGAACTTTTGATCATATGACCGGGGAGGATGCTGCAATGGTCATAAGTGAGGGGACCGGTCATAAGTAATTTTTTTTCCAGTACTGTTGTCATTTCACATGGTTGCTAAACAAACAATTTTAAGTGAAGGGCTACCCGTATACTCACTACTGTCCATATTTTCTTTCAGATTGCAGAGCCATATCCCTACTCTTCCAGTGAAAAGGATATGTCAGCTGGGAGGTAAGGAGGGTCAGTGCAGAGGCACCAGTAAGAAAGAATATTCCTGAGAACATCTTGTGGAAGGGGTTGCTGGTTTGCTTTGTGGGTGGATGCCTTTCTGTGGTTCATTCAGAAAAAGGCATGGTTTGATGACCTTGAGGGAAGCCAGGTGATGCTAAGTCCAGATAGAGCTACTTCAAAGAGTCCTTAAGAAACCCTGTGCCCACATGCCCCTGTGCCCCAAAATAATTTATGGAATTTGAATTGGAAATGCTGCACAGCCTTATCTATAATGGGGAGTCCGCTCAGTGTTGCCAAATATTTCTGGCTCTAAAGAAAGGTTGATGCTAAAACTGCCATCAGCTGAGACAGTTTTCCCCAACTTGGTTCCATCTTGATATATCAGGGCTGCCATTCTCAGAATAGCTGCCGGCTGTTAGTGTTGGAAGTTGCAGTTCCAGCACATTTTGGCCAAACAAGTTCAGTGAAGCCTTCTATCTCAGGCAGTGGATTTTGAGCACCGTCAGGATTTTTAAAAAGATTTTTTATTAAAGTTTATTATAAGCTACGAATAGAAACAAAAATTGAGGAACCTTAAAGAGACAAGCACAGAAAGAGGTAAAAAAGGAAAAAATAGTGAGTTCTGATTTTTTTTTCAGTATAGTAAATAAAAAAAATGCAGGTAGTCTTCCACTTACAATTACACTTGAGCCCCAAATTTATGCTGTTAAGTGAGATATTTGTTAACCGAATTTTCTCCTATTTTATTACCTTTCTTGCCTCAGTTGTTAAGTGAATCACTGCAGTTGATAAGTTAATCACCTGGTTGGTTATCTGGCTTCCCTATTCAGTTTACTTGTCAGGAGGTCACAAAAGGTGATCACATGACCTTGGGACAGACCAACTGAATCAGACTAAATAGGAATCAGTTGCCAAGCGCCTGAATTTTGATCACATGACCATGGAGATGCTGTAAAGGTCATAACTGTGAAAAATGGTCATAATTCACTTTTTTCCATGCTGTTGTAACTTGGAACAGTCACTAAATGAACTGTTGCACGTCAAAGACTACTTGTATGCAACCTCAATCTTTTGCTTTACATTTTTAAATGTTTGAAGCAAAAGTCATTCTGATCATCAAAACCTAAACCTAAAGTTTCATTTTTTTCAGTTTTGGTTCAAAAACCAGAAGCGGTTTCCAAATGAAAACAGCAGTTAGATAAATTATCTTTAATTCACACAGTCAATTTTGCCATCTCCAGCTCCATCATCTTTACCATCCATTCTTCCATTGTGGGAATTAGTTTGTCTGTCTATCCTTGTGCATCTAAGATTTTTGCTCTTGTCAACATACGTAGAAGCAAAAGTTTTGAACACCACCAGAATGATCAGCATCAGTGCAATTATCAAAATGAGAATCTTTTGCAATCTTTGTGAAAAATCTGAAAGGCAGGGTAGCATTAATATGCAAATGATGTCTAGTGGAAACCAGGTGAGAGTAAGAGAAATTTCATATCACGCCCAATAGAAAATCTAATCCAGGAGGCCTTAAATCACAGTGCCTAGGGTTGACAAGGTTCTTCTGCACAGCACTGACTGATATGAACTTCATCCCTGCAATTCATTTCCATGGAGCTTTGTCTTGTCAGCAATGGTTTACTTCGTGTTAATTAGTGGGAAAAGACAAAGTGTTTTTGTCTTTTGATAGTCATCCAAATGTTTTAGATTTTCTTAATTCAACAATAAATTACTGGCTAGTTTTTAGTATGAAACAGTTTGCTCAGTTCTCTTTCTTTCTGTAACCTAATTTGCCAGCACTGGAAGGCTTTATTCTATGAAAACAAATTTTTGGCTCTGTCTAGTCATTATTAAGACACCTCAAAAGAGAGAAATATTCCCTGGATTTAGGGAAAGTCAAAGGGGCTGACAAACAGCTTCTATTTACTTTGAACCTAAAATGGTTGCCCATTACCACCAAAGCAGCGGGCAGAAATCTTAACATGCATTGTCAATAAATCCAAGACTACCCTCTTATTTTAAATATATATTTATTGGACAAAAGAGCTTCTTACTCCATTCTGGAAAAGTATTTTGCATTTTTGGAGTGTGTCATGGGAGCTCTCAGCAGTGATTTCCATGAAAAGAGTAAATAGGAGGAGGTTATTTACAGAAGCAACAGCAGTAGCAGTGTAGTGATAATAACAATATAATAGAGTTTAAGGGACCTTGAAGGTCTTCTAGTCCAACCCCCTGCTCAAGCAGGAGACCCTATACAATCTGAGACAAGTGCCTGCCCAGTCCAGTCTCTTCTTAAAAGCCTCCAGTGACGCAACACCCACAATTTCTGGAGGCAAGCCATTCCACTGGTTGATTGTTCTCACTTATCAGGAAATTTTCCCTTATGCTACATGCAGATACTCATCAATTTATGACCACAATTGAGCCCAACATTTCTGTTGTTAAGTGAGACATTGGTTAAGTGAGTTTTGCTCCATTTTATGACTTTTCTTGCCCCAGTTGTTAAGTGAATCACTGCAGTTGATAAGTTAGTAACCCAGTTATTATTAAATGAACCTGGCTTCCCCATTGACTTTGCTTGCGAGAAAGTCACAAAAGTTGTTCACATGACCCTGGGACACTGCAACTGTCACAAATATGAACCTGAATTTTGGTCTCATGATCATAGGGATGCTGCAAAGGTCGTAACTGTGAAAAATGGCCATAAGTCACGTTTTTCAGTATTGTTGTAACTTTGAACAGTCACTAAACAAACGATTGTAAGTCAAGGACTACCTGTAGTGCCACATTGCCACAGTGGGCAGGGCCGGTCACAGGACAGCCATTCCCCAGAAGGCAGAAGGAGTGAAGAGGCTCTCTGACACTCCCTCTAACGATCCAGCGTGCTCTCTATCCCTCCTGATCTTTCTCTGACCTGGGGAGCTGCATCTGGGGACCACAGCCACCTTCCTGTTTGCTGAGAATGCCTATGGGATTCTTGTAAATCAAAAAGAAAAAGTCAGTCTTTCCTCACTTAACATCAAGAATATTCAGAAATAATTAAAGCTATGCGGAGGCAAGTGGGTACCCAGGTGTGTGTAAGTAGGCAAATTGATCCCCCATGGGAATGCAATGAATTCCTGTCTCTCAGATGGGACCCGAAGAGGCTGAATGCCCTGCTGTAATGGTATGTGGGCAGGGGTAGGATCCTACTGGCATAACAACTGGTTTGCTTCTCACGCATGCACGCTAAATGCACGCATGCACATTACTCACAAATTACCAGGTCCAGCAAGCATTCATCTGCTCCAGCTGACAAGCGACACTCAGCTGTGTCATGCAAAGCAGCTGAGGAGGAAAAAGCAGAAAATAAAGGACAGCCTAGAGCCTGGGCAGGCGGGTGGGCCAAATAGATAATCAGAAGATTGTCACAGTGAACGGGTTCGGTGTCAGCTGCTCTTCAGAGCTACCAGTTCTATAGAACCGGGCCGAACCGGTAGCATCCTACTCCTGTATGTGGGTATGCTTCATGTCTGGACTACCTCAAAGGCTGACATCAATCTTCTGAGGTTCTTTTATCCTCCATCAGGCTCAAATGTGATTTATCAGACCATTGTCTAGGCTGCAGCTCTTCCTTCTGCCTCCCAAGGTCATTCCCATATACCATTCATTGTATCTCCCTGTAACAATTCTTATAGATCTTCCAGTAAAAGAAAGAAAGCAAGTACTTATGAGCAGGCCTACATTAGAACTATTGGTCGTCTAGAGTTGACTATGTGTTTATATTATGATAGTGTTTCTTAGTGCTTCTGTCAGAAAATTATATCGCAGTGAAAAAGAAGTCATAATGTGGACTGCATTAAAGAGATTCTCCAAGACTTAATAAAATTTATGTAGGAAATAAATCTTCATACCTTAGGAACCATGTTTTAACACAGATTGTATCAGGGAGATTTAATTAGTCATGGGGCCAAGAAGGATTTAGACGTGTCTTGAGCTCTAGTTAAAGAAGATAACACTTACATTTCTCTTTTGGGTTTATATTTGCAGAGACAGCAGTTCCTACCAGAGCGTTTTCCAAAGGAAATCATCTGGCTTGTCTTCGCTGGAGGTGAAGCCCCGCCGTGCCATACATGCAGAACGCCAGGCCCAGGAGGCAGAGGAGGCTCTGAGGAGCAATGCAGAAACCAAGCGATATCTCCCTCTCTGGCTCCAGCTCCTGGTGTTTGGGCTGCTGGCTGCCTTCCTGGTCTTCATCTACTTCTTAGAGGGAGGGGCTGATGGTAACCCCTTTGCCAAGTACATTAGTCAGTGAAGCCTTGGCTTTTATTACTAAACTGGCTCCCCAAGAGCCTAGGCCAGTCTTAGCTGACCTGGTCCCTTTCAGATTGGTTGGGGCTGCAATGTCCAGCAGTCACAGCCCATTGGCTGCCACGCTGTGATTTGCAGTCCTAACCAGAGGGCACCACAAAAGCCAGGAGTGGCCTAGAATTTTGTGTGTGGGGTTTTTTGGGGGTATGTGTGTATATGTTAGAATGTTGGGTTTTTTTTACAGTAAGTGCCTTCTTGTCAATCAATAGAAAAAAAGGAAGTGGTATATTGAGGGCCAGGGATGGAAAGGTTTCCGGAGAAAAAGCAGATCTCCACACTTGGGGCCATCCCCTTCCTGAAACCAGCTAACACGGGGCATTTTTATCTGTTGATTTTATAAGCTTGTCTTTATATCATTCAGGAGCATGGGTGGCTTCTTTTGAGGGGGTGGGCGGGCGTGGAGGGAAGAATTGTAGCCTATCTATTGCTTTGTTTGTTTTAAATATACAAATGTACGGAATATCTGAATAAACCTTCCCATTTTTTAAGGTTCATTATTTCATTATTTCACCTCAGTCTAGATAATCACATTGCTCGCCCTCCCACAACTCCAAATCTTTTTTAAGGTCAAATAGCTGAAGGGTTTCTCCATAGCTTATATCATTTTGATTTGGCCAGCTGTGTAAATAAAGACAACATTAAGCCAGAAGTCTTTTTTAGTGTGTATAGGATTTTTTTTTTAATTCTTTCATAGACCACTAAAAAGAAAGAAAGAAATGGAATTCACACAATTGGCCAACCTTTTTCCTTTCTATTTTCACACTTGGGAGTGGAGACAAAATTCACATCCTTCTGAGAATCCCTCCCCAAATCTGGAAGAACAGGAGAAAGGAGCTGCATTCCCATGTGACGCTAAGCTAAAGTTTTAAACCAAGGTTGTTGAATAAGCCCCTTATCCCAACATGAACACATTGCAGCTTGGTGTTGTGTATTTAACCACCCGATGAAGCATTCGTGGTAGAAGGGGCATGTGTGGGAGGCAGTCATGTATTATTGGCAAGGGAATTTTTGGATGGGACTGAGGTAAAACTAGAGTCCTTGAGGGAACTCCGAGGAAGTGAAGCCGCAGCCTGTGGGGCTACAGGAGGGTGCTTGACTGGGAACTGGGCGGGCTTTCTGTTGGGGTGATGAAGGTGTGGGAAAGGGACAGATAACAAGGAAGGGGGTGCCTGCTGGGGAGGGGGATCCCGTTGCTGCTGAGTCCTTCGTAATTTCTCCCGGACCTTTATGAACTCTGGTTGGCTCCCACCAGGATCTCCTGTTGCTTCCTGCTGTTGATGCTGCAGATAAGAAAGAATGCCCCCATCAGATATCCTTGAAGGGTCCACCTGCAAAGCATTTCCTGTCACTGCCGACAAGAACGATGGTAGAGAGAGACCATCTTGGTGGCTTGGCCCTTACCTGTTCCCGTCTCTGCTGCCAGCGCAGAAGCTCCTGCTCAAGGGGGGATGGTTTCAAACCACTTTCTGTCCCATCCCGGCGCCGGTTCCGATGCTCTAGAACCTGGAGCAGCTCTGGCTTTGATCGAAGGCTCAGGCCTCTGAGGAGGGAGATTGACACACAACACAGGGATTTCATTTATCCTAACCTGCGCAGATAAATGGTTGTGACAAGCCCAAGAAGATAATATATACATGAAATTCGGAAGACCCACATAAAAACAGACAACAGTTGTTTCCTTTTAACAATAAACATTCTCAGCCAGGCTTAGTTTGCCTACTAATGTAACACTTTAGACCGGGAACAGTGCAGAAAAGTGCTATAGCAACGAGAACAAAGAGAAGAAAATT